AAACTTATAGGACACTAATTACGTCAAAACAGAAAACAGGTGTGGAAACAAACAGACAAAAGCAAACGAACATGAAACATATAGCGGTGGCAGCTAGAATTCCGGAGACGACGAACGCCGAAGCCTGCCCGAACAAGGGAGAGAGGCAGCCTCGGCCGAAACCGTGACAGAACCAGAGTCGTGTAGCTACTGGACTTGGGTGATGCCTCAGCATGTTACAACAAATCATACATTTCTATCATTCTCTCTCTCTGACTTCCCAAACTGTTATAAAATAAAGATTAAGGTACATTTATTTATTTGTTTGTTCATTTAAATCAAATTGAAATGTTTCTGTTTGCAATGTAAATCCTGTAAACTACATGACTATGGTGCAATAAAAGAAAGATGGCACATCAGAATTGCATTTGATGCAACATCACTTATGACTGTCACGACTTCCTCCGAGGTTGCCTCATCTCCTTGTTCAAGCAGGCTTCGGCGTTCGTCGTCACCGGCCTTCTAGCCACTGTCGCTCCTCATCTCATCATTCCATTGGTTTTGTTTTGTTTATTACACACACCTGGTTCATATCCCCTCATCAGTACCTGTATAAGTGTTCCCTCTGCCCCCTTGTCTTTGTGTGTGATTGTTTATTGTGGAGGATAGTGAAGCTCGGTGGAGCTCCGTGTATTTTGTATCGCCGGGATATTTCCCTGTGTGTCGTGTATTTTTCAGTGCGCCTGTTTTGCGCACTAGAGTGTTTTGACGCATTTCTGCGTAACTCTGTAATTGCGGAATAAAGCCTGTTATTCTGTGATTTACCCTCCTGCGCCTGACTCCTTCGACATCACATCATCACAATGACATCACAAACGAGGGAGTTCCGAGGGTTTCAACACATGACACCTGTTCATTCACCTGTCATTCTGTGCTCTTGAACTAGCCTCAACACGTGTAAATTAGAGCCAAAATCTTCAAAATGAATTCCTTGTATGTTGGTGACCTCCACCAAAATGTCACTGAGGCAGACATAATTGAGATCTGCAGGAATCGGGTTACCCATCGCTCATGTTCAGCAATGATATGCTTGAAGGAAGATATCTGCGCATCATGAGTTCTGACCCTGATCCTACCCTGAGGAAGAGCGGGGTGGGAAACATCCTCATCAAGAACCTGGACATAAGAATTTGTATGAGACCTTCTCAGCATTTAGAGACATTTACTCTAGCAAGGTAGTTTGTGACGAGAAAGGGAAATCCAAGGGCTGTGGTTATATCCAGTACGAGACCCAGGAGGCTGCTGATAGAGCCATTGAGAAATTCACTGGCATGTTGCTGGATGACCAAAAAGAGCAAGAGGCCAGATGAACTTGGAGCCAAGACCAGAGTTCAACAACGTGTTTGTCAACAACCTTGGCAGAGGTTGTGAACGATGATAAGCTGAATGAGCTTTTTGAAAAATATGGACCAACTGTGAGTGTCAAGTTTATGACGATAGCGGGAAGTCGAGGGGGTTCGAGAGGCATTAGGATACACAGAGAACTGTGAATGAAATGAACAGGAAGGAGCTGAATGGGAGGAGGATCTACAGTCATGGTCAAAAGTTTTGAGAATGACACAAGTATTGGTCTTCACAAAGTTTGCTGCTTCAGTGTTTTTAGATATTTTGTCAGATGTTACTATGGTATACTGAAGTATAATTACAAGCATTCCATAAGTGTCAAAGGCTTTTATTGACAATTACATTACGTTTATGCAAAGAGTCAATATTTGCAGTGTTGACCCTTCTTTATCAAGACCTCTGCAATCCACCCTGGCATGCTGTCAATTAACTTCTGGGTCACATCCTGACTTATGGCAGCCCATTCTTGCATAATCAATGCTTGAAGTTTGTCAGAATCTGTGGGTTTTTGTTTGTCCACCCGCCTCTTTAGAATTGACAACAAGTTATATTATATTATAATATTATTATTATATTAAGTTCTCAATGGGATTAAGGTCTGGGGAGTTTCCTGGCCATGGATCCAAAATGTCGATGTTTTGTTCCCCGAGCCTTCTCCGGACAAGGTGTTTTCCGGATGCCCCAAACAATCGGAAAGGGGATTCATCAGAGGAAATTACTTTACCCCAGTCCTCAGCAGTCCAATACCTGTACCTTTTGCAGAATATCAGTCTGTCACTGATTTTTTTCCTGGAGAGAAGTGGCTTCTTTTCTGCCATTCTTCACAACAGGCTATCCTCCAAAAGTCTTCGCCTCGCTGTGCGTGCAGATGCACTCACACCTGCCTGCTGCCATTCCTGAGCAAGCTCTGCACTGGTGGTGCCCCGATCCCGCAGCTGAATCAACTTTAGGAGATGGTCCTGGCGCTTGCTGGACTTTCTTGGGCGCCCTGAAGCCTTCTTCACAACAATTGAACCTCTCTCCTTGAAGTTCTTGATGATCCGATAAATGGTTGATTTAGGTGCAATCTTATTAGCAGCAATATCCTTGCCTGTGAAGCCCTTTTTGTGCAAAGCAATGATGACGGCACGTGTTTCCTTGCAGGTAACCATGGTTAACAGAGGAAGAACAATGATTTCAAGCACCACCCTCCTTTTAAAGCTTCCAGTCTGTTATTCTAACTCAATCAGCATGACAGAGTGATCTCCAGCCTTGTCCTCGTCAACACTCTCATCTGTGTTAACGAGAGAATCACTGACATGATGGCTGCTGGTCCTATTGTGGCAGGGCAGAAATGCAGTGGAAATGTTTTTTGGGGATTAAGTTCATTTTCATGGCAAAGAGGGACTTTGCAATTAATTGCAATTCATCTGATCACTCTTCATAACATTTTGGAGTATATGCAAATTGCCATCATAAAAACTGAGGCAGCAGACTTTGCGAAAATTTATATTTGTGTCATTCTCAAAACCTTTGACCACGACTGTATGTGTGCCACGCCCAGAAGAAATCATAGCGCCAGACCGTGCTGGAACCCAAGTTTGGGCAAATGAAGCATGACCCAAAGGCTAGATACAGAGGTATCAACCTCTTTGTAAAGAACCTGGATGATGCCTTTGATGATCACAGTTTAAGGAAGGAGTTTTCTGCATTTGTAAACAATCATCAGTGCCAAGGTAATGACAGAGGGTGGCCGCAGCAAAGGCTTTGTTTCCCTCTCCTCCCCCGAAGGAGGCCACCCAGGCTGTGACAGAAATGAATGGCCGTATCGTGGGTACCAAGCCGCTCTGGCCCCGGCTCAGAGCAAGGCACAGCACCAACAATACCTGGCCAACAGGTACAAGCAGAGGATGGTCAGTGCCATGGCCCTGCCCAACCCCAAATTCAACCCCTGCCAGCCTCCCATTCCACAAGTAAATCATATATCCAACTTGGACATGAGTCATGAACATTTGATTGAGAAACAGACTAGGGCTGTTACGCTGACCGTATTACTGCCACACCGGCGGTCACGAGTCATGACGGCAGTCAAATTCCACGTGACTGTTTAGTCAAGGTAACTAGGCTTCTCCAAGCTCTGATGCTGCTGCTGGTCATTAGTAGCCTACCAAACTTGCTAACTGCCTGGTCCTCAGCACTCTATTGTCCCTCTAATCACGCTGACGTCAATGCAAATGTAATCAAAAATCTAATCAAACACTCCCACACCTAATGCTTTATTATAAAGTGAATTTTTATTGTGAAAATTATCTTCCCCGAACTCATGTGCCGCCTATGTATGCCAGTTAGGCTCTACACCGGTTGTAAAGTGGATTAATGTGCTTAATTTTAAGAAGTTATTTGGCCACTTTAGTTGTGAGACAAACCTTATCAAAACATATGGCCTAGATGCTAAATGTTTGTTAATTAACGGTCAATTACCATGAGACCGGCAGTTATTTGCTTGACAATCACCGGCTGACAAAATTTCATGACCGCCACAGCCCTAGCCAAGACCAATGTTGCTGCTTACTACTTCAGCAACAAACTGGCTCAGCTGAGTCCCAGCCCTCACTGGGCGACGCAGGTGTCTGACATAAAGCCCGCTCAGTGGATGGCCACCCAAGCCTTGGGCAAGCGATCACGTGCTGCCACTGCAGACGCAGCCAGAGCCATGAGCAAGCCTCAGTATAATTAAATGTGCCTTAAAGAAATACAGTATATTCGTACAGCACCATAAAGTGTACTAGCAAGCAGTATGCTCATCATTCATCTGAGTGTGATTATACAATCTCTGTGCTCTTTTCATGTCTGCACAGTTTGTTTGTTGATGTCTAGGAATTCCTATAGGGGGAGCACACAGCAAGCTTCTCTTTCATTACAAATGTGACTGAAGCAAGCTTCGTTGTCCTTGCACATTTTTTTTTATATCCCCTCTTTCAGGGACACAACATACGCAGCTGGCGACATCGTAACAAAACTTGAAGTTTGGACATACTGCCCACGACTGTCCATTCGAGTCCAGGAGCCACACCAGGCTAAAGCTGGACAGAAATCTGTCCCAAACACTGAAGCTTGAAGCCAACAGAGGGATGGGGGTCCTGGGTACTTCCTTCACCGAAGAAGAAATGTGAAGAAATTGTTTTACACAAAAAGCACAAAACTCTGAGAACATTGCTGTGGAAAACCCAATTTTGGCTCCCTCTAACTAGAATTATATATTTTTTATATTAATATAAAAGTACTTCTTACATTTTTTAATTCATGATTGACTCTGCCATGTCTAGATAAGGTTAGACCTTGATGATACAAGTACCAAAGTTTATTGTAAAAAATAGGGTAAAAAGCCAAATGTACTGTAAGACAAATGTGAATATGAGAAGTTTCCTTACTTTCCTTAGCTATTTAATGTCCCTGTCCTTCTTACTCTCTCAGTCTCTCTTTCTGTCCCTCTTTGTAGTATGTTGTAATGCACACAAACACACACACGCACACACACACATAAACCCCCCCACACACACCTCCTCAGTAATGTTGATCTCTAGGCCCTTGTTGAGCTGCTCCTGCAGGTTGGACACCATGGCATTGTTGCCGGGCACCCTGTAGACGCCAGTGTACTCCAGACCCATGCTCTCCACCAGCCCACAGCACAGCTCCACGATCAGAGGGACAAACTGGGGGAGAAAGAGAGAGTAGATGGAGGGGGAGAGAGAGAGAGAGAGAGAGAGAGAGAGAGAGAGAGAGAGAGAGAGAGAGAGAGAGAGAGAGAGAGAGAGAGAGAGAGAGAGAGAGAGAGAGAGAGAGAGAGAGAGAGAGAGAGAGAGAGAGAGAGAGAAAGAAGGAGCGAGAGAGAGAGAGAGAGAGAGAGAGAAGGATGTTAGTAATTAATACATTTTTGTTTCATAGACAAATTCTCAAGAGAGTGAGAAAGGTATAGCAACACATTACCAGATAATATGATAAAAGTAGCAATGGATAATGGCTGAATGGATTATGCATTATTGCGCTTTTCACTAGGTCTTGAGGCGTTTGCATGTCATGGGGTGACATACCCCATTATCACATTGAGATAAGGGAAGAGAGATAAGGAATATGTAAATGTGATCGAAGAACAGAGTTGATCGACAATCGACGAACCTTGTTGTTAACAGCAGGTTGACAGTCCTCAAGTCGCACTCCAAACACCTTGGGGCCTGTCTTCTTGGCTTTCTTCATTATGATACCCCATGGACCCTTGCTCTCGTCTACAACAGACAGACAAACAGAAAGAGAAGACAGACAATTTACAAAGCAGCCCTTAATATAAGTACAGCAAACTCCTGAAAAAATGCAATGGCTTGGTACTGTCCTAAAATCATGCACTAAGCCAACATTTTGTAGTGGAAAATGAAAAACAGTGTTTGTTACCCTCCTGGTTTCAGTCTGTTTTCTTCCGTTTGGTGCCTAATGAACACTACCCTGATACAAGGAACCTTTATGCCATGCTTGTGCCATGGGACTGTGGTATGTGTGCCACTCACCTTTGTTGGAGGAGCGGTTCATGAAAGCGTTGTCTGTCTTGGCCAGGAGGAAGGGGGGCATCATGCGATGGGCCCTGGGAGAGGTGTCTGGCTTATTGCCTGTTGGACTGGATGGAGACAAAACGAGGGCTAGAATATTGCATTGGCAGACAACAAAAGGCCGATGAACATAACGACAAATGTAATGACGGCAAGATTTACTCTAGCATTTGTGCCAGGAACCGAAAGGGAAAAATTAAATTTGTAAGAGGGTATTGACATTTGGGAAAAGTGTAAAGCAGTTTACATGGATTTAGTGTGTAAACGCTTAGTATTAAGTGAGTGTGGTTAGGGGTGCGTAGCTTACCTTTGTTTCCTGTAGTCATTGAGCTTCTTGTTGATGAGTGCTTGTCTGGAAAAACCCAGCTCCTGAAACACACACAAAAGACAGTTTTGTATATTATGTTGATTACATATTATGTTGTTTACATACAAAAAATAAGCTATCCTGCCTAGTTCTGTTCCCCCCTCATCTAGGAGAATTTTGTTTCTATTGGTTTCAGTTGTCAATTTGATACCAGACGACCTGAATGTTGCTTTGGGGGCCCTAAAACATTGGGAAAGACTGGAGAGTGGGCCCTCCACAGAATCAAACAGAACACAATATACGTATTATATTGTATCTCTATGAGGCACTCTTCCTCAGTTTATTATTATCACCTACCTCGTTGTCTGTCTTGCTGTTCTCTCTGATGACCCGGATCCATCCCAGCATGTCTTCTCTGTCCTCCGCCTGCAACAGGTACTCACAGAAGTCCTGAGTGGTCAGCCTCAGAGCGTGCTTACGCTTGGTTTCGCTATAGGCGATGTCAATCAAGCAGCCGCGGATGCTGATTGGAGGGTGCTCATCCTCCCCGTGGCCAGGTCCCGCCCCTGCCCCATGGAGGACCGCCTCCCGCTTGTCTTTGTAGAGCAAGAGGCGGTAGGAGCGCAGCACGGAGAAGACGCGCTTCCATGGACGCATGCCGCCGCCCACCTTCTGTGGTTGGTGGAGTGAGAGAGAGAGAGAGAGAGAGAGAGAGAGAGAGGTCAGTTAAATTATATTTCTTTCAGGTTTTTTCTGTGAGCTCAATATTCTACATAGTTTAGCGCAGAAAACATGGTAATTAAGCACAATGACCATAATCCATTGCGCGCCTACTTGTCCGGTCTGTGTGTTTCTTTTACGCCTGCTACATTAGGTTAGTGTAGGGCAGACACGGAGAGAGAGAGAGAAGAGACAGAAGCATGCGTGATCGAGAGGGATAGAGAGCAGCTGCTTCGCGAGGTACAATATCTCTACCTAAAAACACATGATCTTAGTGATTGATAGCAGTCATAAAAGTATGCCATATTTACTTTGAAGAACTACTAAAATAATGATTTTGTCAGACCGCATAGGCAGCAGCTCTATAGAGATGAGACTTGGAATGAAATAATAAAGTCATCAAATAAAACGAATGTAATATACACAACAACTGAAATATTTGATTAAGGTAAAGTAATGTGAATAAATGATGGTTAATAAGTGATAAGTGGTAATAGGCAGTCACTACCATCATGGGACTTTAATTAATTGAATGGGAATTAATTGTTTGGTCCCCACAAGGATAGTAAAACAAACGTGTGTGTGTATTACTTTGCCCTTCTCCGTGAGGATCTGTTTGTAGTGAAGCCAGCCGTCCTTGCGTACGTCACTGAAGGTGATGGTCCCCAGCTCGGAGGTGGAGTGACGTTTCGACCGCGCCTCCTCTGCAGCACGCAGACTCTCCAGAGACTGGAATACACAGCCAATCACACCACACAACCACAGCTCAGAGCCAATTAGATCACACAATCACGTGCAGTTCTAATGTGATTGGTACAAAGCTGATGCAGACAAAATAAAACTAATGATCAAATAAGAGATTAAACAGCAAAGAGATAATACTCACTCCATCAGTGAAAAAGCTCTTCACCCTTTTTGGTAGTCTCCTGTGGAAAGATATTTGAGAATGATGCATGACTGACTGCACAGAAAAAATTGACTGACCTGACCTTTTTGACCTCTACATATAGTCTTCTACAGTATTTAGTCTTCAGACAACCAGTGGCCAAACTCACGAGAAGACACGGCCTTCCTCCCGGAAGGTGTTGAGGCCCTCGTCACATGACTTGGAGCGCTCTGTGGTAATGGCCAGCAGGTAGGAGGAACGGCGGCTTTTGATACTGCCTTCTCAGAAAGAAAGAGAGAGACATGATGAGAGAGAGAGAAATCAGTAGGGAGGGAACTGAAGACATGCAAAAAGAACACAGTGAAGTGAGATAGCTCAAAATGGAAGGCATTCTAGACATGTCAGAAAGAAGCAAACACAGAACACATTGAGCCTGGAGATGGAGGGGGGGATGGAGGGCAGTTGAAGGGGGTTTGAGGTTTAAGTACAATTTTCCTTGTTTTGACATGTGAACCTGTATCGACTGACTGGGGATATCGACAGCAGTCGTTGTAGAAATGAAAACAGGTCTACATATCAAAACGGGGGAAATCGTTCTAAAGGAAGTGATGGAGGTATGGCGAGGAGAGGTGAGGAGAATGGGGGACACTCACTGCAGTCCTGGGAGCGGAGCTTGACGAGGGGGGAGGTGGAGGAGGAGAGGGTGACAGGGGAGACAGTAGTGGTACTAGAGGTGAGGGCACAGGGCAAAGAGGGCACAAGAGGGCACAGGGCACTGGAGGAGGACACCACGGAGCAGGCGGGTACGTGGCGGGCACGTAGGTCAGCGCTAGGGCTGATGGGGTCATCTGTGAGGGGTCAGGGGTTAGAGGTCAGAGGTTAGGGGTCAACGAGGAAGAGAGTCATAATAGAAATATAAGTATTATTTCCCATATAAAATAGCATATTTCTATGGGAGAGTCAAAATGTACTAGTGAGTTACACCAATGGATAGACAGATTCATGTTACAGACACACTCCCCAGAGACATACATAGGTGTTACTATACAAGCACACTGTAGGTAATATGTGTGTAAAAATATATATTTCTCTGGACACAGAACACTTACACACATACACTACACTAACAGTTTCAAGTTACAAGGACATTTACTCAGTTATACACATATACAGTTGAAGTCGGAAGTTTACATACACTTAGGTTGGAGTCATTAAAACTTGTTTTTCAACCACTCCACAAATTTGGCTTAAGGACAACAAAGTCAAGGTATTGGAGTGGCCATCACAAAGCCCTGACCTCAATCCTATAGAACATTTGTGGGCAGAACTGAAAAGGTGTGTGCGAGCAAGGAGGCCTACAAACCTGACTCAGTTACACCAGCTCTGTCAGGATGAAAGGGCCAAAATTCACCCAATTTATTGTGGGAAGCTTGTGGAAGGCTACCCGAAACGTTTGACCCAAGTTAAACAATTTAAAGGCAATGCTACCAAATACTAATTGAGTGAGGGAAAAAAGTATTTGATCCCCTGCTGATTTTGTACGTTTGCCCACTGACAACGAAATGATCAGACTATAATTTTAATGGTAGGTTTATTTGAACAGTGAGAGACAGAATAACAACAAAAAAATCCAGAAAAACGCATGTCAAAAATGTTATAAATTGATTTGCATTTTAATGAGGGAAATAAGTATTTGACCCCCTCTCAATCAGAAAGATTTCTGGCTCCCAGGTGTCTTTTATACAGGTAACGAGCTGAGATTAGGATCACACTCTTAAAGGGAGTGCTCCTAATCTCAGCTTGTTACCTGTATAAAAGACCTGTCCACAGAAGCAATCAATCAATCAGATTCCAAACTCTCCACCATGGCCAAGACCAAAGAGCTCTCCAAGGATGTCAGGGACAAGATTGTAGACCTACACAAGGCTGGAATGGGCTACAAGACCATCGCCAAGCAGCTTGGTGAGATGGTGACAACAGTTGGTGCGATTATTCGCAAATGGAAGAAACACAAAATAACTGTCAATCTCCCTCGTCCTGGGGCTCCATGCAAGATCTCACCATTGCAACTCATCATTGGAGTTGCAATGATCATGAGAACGGTGAGGAATCAGCCCAGAACTACACAGGAGGATCTTGTCAATGATCTCAAGGCAGCTGGGACCATAGTCACCAAGAAAACAATTGGTAACACACAACGCCGTGAAGGACTGAAATCCTGCAGCGCCCGCAAGGTCCCCCTGCTCAAGAAAGCACATATACAGGCCCGTCTGAAGTTTGCCAATGAACATCTGAATGATTCAGAGGAGAACTGGGTGAAAGTGTTGTGGTCAGATGAGACCAAAATGGAGCTCTTTGGCATCAACTCAACTCACCGTGTTTGGAGGAGGAGGAATGCTGCCTATGACCCCAAGAACACCATCCCCACGTCAAACATGGAGGTGGAAACATTATGCTTTGGGGGTGTTTTTCTGCTAAGGGGACAGGACAACTTCCCCATCAAGGGGATGATGGACGGGGCCATGTACCGTCAAATCTTGGGTGAGAACCTCCTTCCCTCAGCCAGGGCATTGAAAATGGGTCGTGGATGGGTATTCCAGCACGACAATGACCCAAAACACACAGCCAAGGCAACAAAGGAGTGGCTCAAGAAGAAGCACATTAAGGTCCTGGAGTGGCCTAGCCAGTCTCCAGACCTTAATCTCATAGAAAATCTGTGGAGGGAGCTGAAGGTTCGAGTTGCCAAACGTCAGCCTCGAAACCATAGTGACTTGGAGAAGATCTGCAAAGAGGAGTGGAACAAAATCCCTTCTGAGATGTGTGCAAACCTGGTGGCCAACTACAAGAAACGTCTGACCTCTGTGATTGCCAACAAGGGTTTTGCCACCAAGTACTAAGTCATGTTTTGCAGAGGGGTCAAATACTTATTTCCCTCATTAAAATGCAAATCAATTTATAACATTTTCGACATGTTTTTCTGGATTTTGTTGTTGTTATTCTGTCTCTCACTGTTCAAATAAACCTACAATTAAAATTATAGACTGATCATGTCTTTGTCAGTGGGCAAACGTACAAAATCAGTAGGGGATCAAATACTTTTTCCCTCACTGTAAACTTCTGACCCACTGGGAATGTGATGAAAGAAATAAAAGCAGAAATACATTTACATTTTAGCAGACGCTCTTATCCAGAGCGACTTACAGTTAGTGAGTGCATACATTTTCTTTTCATACTGGCCCCCCGTGGGAATCGAACCCACAACCCTGGCGTTGCAAGCGCCATGCTCTACCAACTGAGCTACACGGGACCCATAAATCATTCTCTCTACTATTATTCTGACATTTCACATTCTTAAAATAAAGTGGTGATCCTAACTGACCTAAGACAGGTAATTTTTACTAGGATTAAATGTCAGGAATTGTGAAAAACTGAGTTTAAATGTATTTGGCTAAGGTGTATGTAAACTTCCGACTTCAACAGTAACATATAACTTAGTACAGTATATGAGTGTACACTGAGTATACAAAACATTAAGAACACTTGCTCTTTCCATGACATAGACTGACCAGGTGAATCCAGGTGAAAGCTATGATCCTTATTCATGTAATTTGCTAAATCCACTTCAATCAGTGAAGGTGAAGGGGAGGAAACAGGTTAAAGAAGGTTTCTTAAGCCTTGAGACAATTGAGACATGGATTGTTTATGTGTCCCATTCAGAGAGTGATTGGGCAAGACAACAAATTTAAGTGCCTTTGAACAGGGTATGGTAGTAGGTGCCAGGCACACTGGTTTGTGTCAAGAACCACTGCTGGGTTTTTCACGCTCAACAGTTTCCTGTGTGTATCAAGAATGGTCCACCACCCAAAGGACATCCAGCCAACATGACACAACAGTGGGAAGCATTTGTCCATGCCCTGACGAATTTAGTCTGTTCTGAGGGCAAAAGGGGGGTGGGGGGTGGGGGGGGTGGGGGGTGTGGAACTCAATATTAGGAGGGTGTTCCTAATGTTTGGTATACTCAGTGTACAGCACAGTTGGGGTTAAATACATTGTTATTCTCATTGAAAAGCATTGAAGAAAATTGGAATTGGAATTTAACCCTGGTATAAATGTATAAAGCCCCCCCCCCCACTATTCATAAAGAAAAGGGAAGGGAGGAAGGCGGAAGTTGGAGGGTAGGGTGGGGTACTAACTACTAACCTATAAAGGGAATAGAGGCCAGGGAGTCGGGTGTGCTGTGGTGGGGTTGCAGGCTACCGTTGGGCCTCTGTAGACTGTCCCCCATTCTGGGACCACCACAGACGGGCGAGGGTGTCCCTGCAGTGGGGGTGCTGGGGGAGGGCAGCAGCCCGACGGGGGGCTCGGCCGAATCCACGGGGAGGGCGTAGTGGGGGTGAAGGAGGGCGTGCATGGGGATCCGACGCCCCGTAGGGGGCTTCTGCCTCAGCACCACCTCCTGGCCCAGAGGGAGTGGGGACAACGTCTCCTCCCCCAGCCTCACTCTCTCATCCTCTGACGAAGAAGGGATGATGGCCGGGGTGGAGGAAGGACGAGGAACTACCATCCCCCCTCCTATCCCGCCTCCCTCGCAGTCCGAGGGGCTAGTTTTGGCACTGGGTACCCAGTTGAGGTGGGGTCCAATGTAGGTGGGTTCTCTGAAGGAGTGGGCCTGTTGGAGGAGGTGGCTGGCCTTGCGGCAGAAGGAGGGGCTGTAACTCTTGTAGCCCACCAGCTCCTCTTCCTCCAACCTCCTGCTCTGGGTCTGGGGCTCAGCCACCTGCTGCTGCTGGGTCTGCCGACCAATGGAGGGGGCTGTGGCTGTGGGGAAAAGGTAGACATAATATAGGCTAAGTACAGCAGGAGAGGTACTGGCTGAATTCCAATTCCTTACCCTCCTCCTAAAAGCGTGCACTTGCTTAAACCCCCTCATGGATTTTAAATCATGTTAGTGGTGTATGTAGTATGTTAAATCCACGAGGGGAGTGAGTAAGTGTACACTTTAGGGAGATGGGGGAGATTATTCAGCAAAGGGCTGTCTGTCTTCCTACCTATTTATCTATCCATCTAAATATCTCTATGCGTGTGGAGTTTACCCAGTGTGGCTGCGGTTGTGGGTGTAACCGTGTGGTGGTTTCCCAAGTCCTTGTCCTGCTCCTTGGCACTCTGCGACGGCCAGGCGGGGGCTCTCTCGTGGTACGGCGACACCAGCGCAGCCGCTTGGGCTAGCGTCTCCTGCGAGCGCCCGTAGCTACGTTCGTACGACGCGTACGCCGCCAGCAGGCTTTCCGAGCACGAACGGCTCCCTGGCCCAGACACTCCCAGCCAATAGGAATCGTGGGAGGCGGCTGCTGCCTGGTGGTGGAGTAGCAGAGTTTCTTGGGAAACGCCGCGGTCTCTGTGAGCCATGGAGGACATAGAGGTAGACCCAGGACCTCCAGCGCCACCAGGCCCCAGCGCTAAGCCCAACCCCAGCTCGGCTAACCGATCCTGGGATATGCTCCGGTGTCGAGGGGACATGCGCTCGGCCGCCTCTGCCTGGCTGTAGTACCAGTCCGACAGCGCCTGGTGGCACATGGCGTCGCTGTGGGCACGCGTAGCTGGTAAACTTCCCTTCCGGGCAGGCATGTGGGGCAGGGTCGCAGAGGCAATGGCGGCGTTGTGGTTGGCAAAGTGGAAGTCCAGTGCGCTGACGGCCGACGACGAGCGCCCGCGGTTCTGCCCCAAAGATGGCTGCCAATCTCCCTCTTGTCCTGCAGAGGAGCCAAAATGGCCGCCGCCATCCTCCTCGTTTTCTCCCGGACCCCTGGGCCTGCCGGAGGTCTGAGTTACGTTAGCCGCGGCAGAGCGGTTGTCCAAGGGGGAGGCTAGGCTAACAGGGCTGGGGCGGCAGTGCCAGTTGTCCAGGGGGCTTTGGTGGTTGGGTGGCAGAGGAGCTGTGGAAGCGGGCTTGGCACGGGGGTAGCAGAGGGGGGGAGGGTCGGGGATATGCTGCGCCCCTCCCGTGTATGGCTCATTTCCTCTCAGGTAGGCATCCTGAGAGTACGCCTGTGGGGGAGGGAAGAGGAGAGAGAGAGCATGAGAGATAAAAAGATGACAGGATAGAAAGAAGGAGAGAGAGGGAGGGATAGAGAAGAGTAGAAAGCAGGTGCGAAGTAGTATTTCACACAAAATTAACACATTCCGTTTGCTATTCTAACATGTTCCATGGCAAGTGACATGATTTGATAACCTGTTTCCAATACATTTGAAATGTATTCAGGAACAAAAAATCCACTCCAAACTAGCTTGTCAGGTGTTTGTGAAAGCAAAGGCGGGTGGAATGCATTTTTTACATATTACAATGAAAACGTGTTATTGTGTAATTATTGTATATCCGGTAGGGATAGTTCAGCACTGGAATTATATGAAATGTTTGTGAGTGTCTATACATTACTACTAACTCAATACTCTTCACCAAGCCAAATTGCTTTGTGATTGTGAGGTGTATTTTTATTGGCCTATGATTATAAATAATTTGATGTGTGGGAAGGAGGAGAGGAGGGAAAGAAGAAGAAATCTCATACTCACACTTACCAACTGCAACACATCCTCATCTTTTGGCATGATGCAGAGCTCCAGAACATTCTCGCTGAAAGAGGGATATAGGAGAGATAGTAAACTAATGGGACATTGTGTAATGTTATGTAATAAGTATTATATAATGTGTCATATCGCGTGTGTAGGTGCCTGCGTGAGTGTCTCACCTGTTTTGGATCAATGCGATCACCTGAGAGTAGGTCTTCCCCAATACACTCTCCCCATTCACCTTTACCAGTCTGTCCCCTGTACACAGGCCAGCTTGGTGGGCAGGGCTTTTCTCCCTCACACTCTTTACAAAGATGGTGTCCATGGGCTCCAGACGACCCCTTTGACAACCTGGGACACACAAACATGGCATATATTCATACTTTTTTTTTTAAACACAGATTCATAAACTTGTAAACATCCACACCAAAGGAATGTATGATGACACATGAAAAACCCTCACCTTTTCCATTGCCGTTTCCATTCTCCTCATCCTGCAGAGAAAGGAGAGGAAGACAAGTGAGAAACCTAGAAAACTAGTGAACAGAGACCAACCAGACCAGTTGTTTTGTGGCTCTACCACAAGGAGATGCCATCTCCCCCAGGCAGTCAGAGAGATTAGCTGTTGTGTGGCTACAAATGCATTAACACACACCTTCTAAATGTGCCTCACCATAGTAACACACAGAAATTGATTGACAGTGACAAAAACACTCATGAGCCAGCATATGCTCACATAGTTTAACTCAATTTATCACACACACATGCACACATACACACACACAGATGCAAACACACATGCACAGTTCATCTCTCTCTGATACACACACACACACAAACACAAACACACACACAAACACAAACACATAATAACCCACCCCCTACTCCAACCACCCACCCACCCTCACAAACACACAGGCCCCAGCTGACTGGGCAGTTTGGGTCTAGCCGGCTGACTTACTGGCCATGGGCTTTTCAGGCTTCGCTGACAGAGCTCATTCCAGTCAGACAGACAATGACCTGGGCTTTACAGCCACAGAATAGAGACCTAGATACCCTGGAGTAGGAACCAGTGATACTACCACCTTTCTCCTCTTCTTCCCTTTATCATCCTCTACTCCTCTTCTATTTACCTTCTCATCTCCTCTTCTATTTACCTTCTCATCTCCTGTTCTATTTACATTCTCATCTCCTCTTCTATTTACCTTCTCATCTCCTCTTCTATTTACCTTCTCATCTCCTCTTCTATTTACCTTCTCATCTCCTCTTCTATTTACCTTCTCATCTCCTGTTCTATTTACCTTCTCATCTCCTCTTCTATTTACCTTCTCATCTCCTCTTCTATTTACCTTCTCATCTCCTCTTCTATTTACCTTCTCATCTCCTCTTCTATTTACCTTCTCATCTCCTCTTCTATTTACCTTCTCATCTCCTCTTCTATTTACCTTCTCATCTCCTCTTCTATTTACCTTCTCATCTCCTGTTCTGCTTGCACTCTACTCTCCTCTCTTGCCCTCCTCTCATCTTCTGTTTAACATATTCCCTCCTCTTCTCTCTTCTCCTCCTCACGTCTCCTCCTCTCCTCTTTTACCCCCTCTGCCTCTTCTATTATACTCTCTCATCTCTCATCTCTTCTCTGTTCCTCTCTTCTCTCCTCTCCCTGTAGGTCAGTGGTCCCCAACCCTGGTCCTGGGGAGCTACAGGATGTGTGGGCTTTTCTTCCACTGGTTGGTGACCATTGGTCAGGACACCCCCATAAGTTGAAAACTGTTATAGTAACACACACACACACACCTGTAATTCTGTGACTTCACGACCCCTCTTAATTTGGTCATGAGACACAATTAACCTCTACACTACTGGAGATTAGCAGATCAGCGCTCGCTTGGTAGTGAAATCTGAATGTAGCATTCCATCGTGGGGGCTATGAACCATTGTTACCTTGAGGTTGTTGTGGAGGGAGGACTCTGGCGGGTACACAATGAAGTGGCGTAGCGTGAAGCCGAAGCCCTGGGAGTTCTTCTGCAGGAGCACCGTACAAGGGCCCTGCCACGCCACGCCCTCAACCTCGCCCGACGACAGCGACCGAGTGTTCTCATTGGATGACAGGACGCCATCTCTCCGCCCTTTAGCCTATGAGGGACACAGGTAAGGAAGATGTTAGAAAAGGGTTAAAACTCAATATTAGCTATTCAATTAATTAGTATCACTTTGAAATGTATCAGTGATTTCAATATGTGAGCAAAATGTCAGAGTAAGTTAGGTAAAGTGAGCTGAGGGTGAAGTGTGAACTGTGATCTCAGTGAGTCCAAACATTTCCTCCATGTCAGTGAGAAATGCATCGCTTTAGTGTGAAACATTAGAGAAGTTTCTTTTGGCGATAAGAGTTAGCTATATACTACACAAACAGGTTTGGAACCAGGCTAGGAACACTAACTCCACCCAGAATTCCGGAATTCCACCAATGCCTGAAATATGGAAGAAACTTCCCTTTCTCTCTCTCAGGAATAATATCTATTTTAACGACCCACCTCTCCCATAATCACCTGCCACACAATGGAGGGATAAAAATACAAGTTGAAGTGGGTATTTATATCTAACACTTATGGAACAACAGGACTTTATCACGACACACACACACACACACACACACACACACGTACGTTAGGCACGCATGACCATGCACGCGCGTGCGCAAACACACATACACACACCTGAAGAATAATAACACTCACGCCCCTTTTATGTGTTTGGAGTCTTTGTGGCTGTAACACTTTGGGGATACACTGGTGGTCCATATACAGTGCATTTGGAAAGTATTCAGCCCCTTGACTTTTTCCACATTTTGTTACGTTACAGCCTTATTCAAAAATGGTTTTTCTCCCCTCATCAATCTACACACAATACCCCATAATCACAAAGCAAAAACTGGTTTTTAGACATTCTTGCAAATGTATTACAAATAAAAAAAACGGAAATATCTCATTTACATAAGTATTCAGACCCTTTACTCAGTACTTTGTTGAAACACCTTTGGCAGCGATTACAGCCTTGAGTCTTCTTGGGTATGACGCTACAAGCTTGGCACACCTGTATTTGGGGAATTTCTCCCATTCTTCTCTGCAAATCCTCTCAAGCTCTGTCAAGTTGAACGGGGAGTGTCGCTGCACAGCTATTTTCCAGGTCTCTCCAGAGATGTTCGATCGGGTTCATGTCCAGGCTCTGGCTGGGCCACTCAAGGACATTCAGAGACTTGTCCCGAAGCCACTCCTGCGTTGTCTTGGCTGTGTGTTTAGTGTCGTTGTCCGTTTGGAAGGTGAACCTTCACCCCAGTCTGAGGTCCTGAGCACTCTGTAGCAGGTTTTCATCAAGGATCTCTTTGTACTTTACTCCGTTCATCTTTCCCTCGATCCTGACTAGTCTCCCAGTCTCTGCCAATGAAAAACATCCCCACAGCATGATAATGCCACCACCATGCTTCATCGTAGGGATGGTGCCAGGTTTCCTCCAGACATGACGATTGGCATTCAGGCCAAAGAGTTCAATCTTGGTTTCATCAGACCAGAGAATCTTGTTTCTCATGGTCTGAGAGTCTTTAGGTGCCTTTTGGCAAACTCCAAACAGGATTTCATGTGCCTTTTACTGAGGAGTGGCTTCCGTCTGGCCACTCTACCATAAAGGCCTGATTGGTGGAGTCCTGCAGAGATGGTTGTCCTTCTGGAATGTCAGGTTCTTGGTCACCTCCCTGACTAAGGCCCTTCTCCCCCGAATGCTTAGTTTGGCAGGGTGGCCAGCTCTAGGAAGAGTCTTGGTGGTTCCAAACTTCTTCCATTTAAGAATGATGGAGGCCACTGTGTTCTTGGGGACCTTCAATGCTGCAGAAATGTGTTGGTACCCTTCCCTAGATCTGTGCCTCGACACAATCCTGTCTCGGAGCTCAACGGACAATTCCTTCGACCTCATGGCTTGGTTTTTGCTCTGACATGCACTGTCAACTGTGGGACCTGATATAGACAGATGTGTGCCTTTCCAAATAATCTCCAATCAATTGAATTAACCACAGGACTCCAATCAAGTTGTAGAAACATCTCAAGGATAATCAATGGAAACAGGATGCATCTGAGCTTAATTTCGAGTCTCATAGTAAAGGGTCTGAATACTTATGTAAATAAGGTATTTCTGTTTTTAAAAACCTGTTTTTGCTTTGTCATTATGGGGTATTGTGTGTAGATTGATGAGGAAATGTTTTTATTTAATCCATTTTAGAATAAGGCTGTAACGTAACAAAATGTGGAAAAAGTCAAGGGGTCTGAATACTTTCCAAATGTACTGTATGCAGCATCCAGGACTTCCAAGTCCAACAGCAACATATTCTATTGAAAACGGTTTTAAAATTTAGATATGTAGAAACTGAGATTGGCAGGGGGATACCTACCTTCACCCCGCTTAGACCTAAGTAATATTTGGAAAAACCTAGCTCAGGCACCATACAGCAGACTTAGCGTTTTAGTGTCTAGCTAGCGTCTTTATCTTATCACGCGACCTCTCCTGATAACCTTCGGCCCTCTTCCTTCTTCATCCCACCCTGCCCTTGACTTCCTATACTCCCTCCTGTCTCCTTTCTCCACTCCCCCGCCTCCCCCCTCCCCCATGAACTCACAAGGACAGGCAACACTGCACCGCACCGCAACAACAGGAAGTGGAGAGCCTTGAACAGGAAGTGAGGCATGGTGCCTGAGCTAACTGGCCCATTTGGGGATTCAGGGAATCCTTTGCCTCTAAGAATAGAGTGGCTAGGGAGGGGACTATGTGTGTGTGTGTGTGTGTGTGTGTGTGTTTGTGTGTGTGTGTGTGTCTGCGTGTATTTGTGTGAGTATGTGTGTGGGTGGCAGGGAGGGGGACTCTCTTTCCGATGGGGGCTCCATTTCCATTGCAACACCCCTCTCTTCATACCCCAGCCCAACATTGTGACTAGCATTCAAGCATCTGGAATGCCCGGATCCACATTGACAAGTTGAATTATTCTGTTGACTTCCTATCTGTAATAGTCCTTTATGAAATGCTATGTGTTGTTTTGTAAGGAAGTGGAAATATGCTGTAGTGGTATAGGACTGTGAAGGAAAGTTAAGACAAAGACTGGATGCTTGGTAGGATAGAAATCACATTCTCAGTAAGGAGTCTTAGAATTGACTCATAATACTAATATTAAGGAACATTCCTTCTGGATCTATGTAGAGTACACACACATGCAATTTTGACTTCGCAGCTGGCCCATCTAGCGGAAATCGACTCATCCCAAAGAACGTCAACCTGCTACATACTGTGGTTTTAATGTATGTCAGAATCCCTCACAGTTCACATGCAAGTGCATGTAAGCACACACACTGGGGTGTGAGATGCTAGCACAACATTTACATTTACATTTTAGTCATTTAGCAGACGCTCTTATCCAGAGCGACTTACAGTTAGTGAATACATTTTTTTTTTTATACTGGCCCCGTGGGAATCGAACCCACAACCCTGGCGTTGCAAACGCCATGCTCTATCAACTGAGCTACATCCCTGCCGGCCATTCCCTCCCCTACCCTGGACGACGCTGGGCCAATTGTGCGCCGCCCATGAGTCTCCCGGTCGCGGCCGGCTGCGACAGAGCCTGGATTCGAACCAGGATCTCTAGTGGCACAGTTAGCATTGCTATGCAGTGCCTTAGACCACTGCGCCACTCACAACTTGCACAAGCATACACACACACTCTCATATACACTACCGGTCAAAAGTATTAGAACACCTACTCATTCAAGGGTTTTTCTTTATTTTTACTGTTTTCTACATTGTAGAATAATAGTGAAGACATCAAAACTATGAAATAACATATATGGAATCTTGTAGTAACCAAAAAAGTGTTAAACAAATCAAAATATATTTTATATTTGAGATTCTTCAAATAGCCACCCTTTGCCTTGATGACAGCTTTGCACACTCTTGGCATTCTCACAACCAGCTTCACCTGGAATGCTTTTCCAACAGTCTTGAAAGAGTTCCCACATATGCTGAGCACTTGTTGGCTGCTTTTCCTTGACTCTGTGGTCCAACTCATCCCAAACCATCTCAATTTGGTTGAGGTCGGGGGATTGCGGAGGCCAGGTCATCTGATGCAGCACCATCACTCTCCTTCTTGGTAAAATAGCCCTTACACAGCCTGGAGGTGTGTTGGATCATTGTCCTGTTGGAAAACAAATGATAGTCCCACTAAGCCCAAACCAGATGGGATGGCGTATCACTGCAGAATGCTGTGGTAGCCATGCTGGTTAAGTGTAACCCACACTGCGTCTCACAAAGACATAGCGGTTGGAACCAAAAATCTCAAATTTGGACTCCAGACCAAAGGACAAAAGGACAAATTGCCACCGGTCTAATGTCCATTGCTCGTGTTTCTTGGCCCAAGCAAGTCTCTTCTTTTTATTGGTGTCCTTCACTAGTGGTTTCAACCACGAAGGCCTGATTCACACAGTCTCCTCTGAACAGTTGATGTTGAGATGTGTCTGTTACTTGAACTCTGAAGCATTTATTTTGGCCGCAATTTCTGAGCCTGGTAACTCTAATGAAATTATCCTCTGCAGCAGAGGTAACTCTGGGTCTTCCATTCCTGTGGCGGTCCTCATGAGAGCCAGTTTCATCATAGCGCGTTTTTGCGACTGCACTTGAAGAAACGTTCAAAGTTCTTGAAATGTTCCGTATTGACTGACCTTCATGTCTTGAAGTAATGATGGACTGTCGTTTGTCTTTGCTTATTTGAGCTGTTCTTGCCATAATATGGGCTATCTTCTGTATAACCCCCTACCTTTTCACAACACAACTGATTGGCTCAAACGCATTAAGAAGGAAATAAATTCCACAAATTAACTTTTAAGAAGGCACACCTGTTAATTGAATTGCATTCCAGTTGACTAACTCATGAAGCTGGTTGAGAGAATGTCAAGAGTGTGCACAGCTGTCATCGAGGCAAAGGGTGGCAATCTTAAAAAACAAAAACAAAATATTTTATTGTAATTTTTTTTTGGGGGTAGAAGAATCTCAAATATAAAATATATTTAGATTTGTTTAACCTTTTTTTGGTTACTACATGATTCCATATGTGTTATTTCATATGTATGTGTCATTTCATAGTTTTGATGTCTTCACTATTATTCTACAATGTAGAAAATAGTAAAAATAAAGAAAAACCCTTGAATGAGTAGGTGTTCTAAAATGTTTGACCAGTAGTGTACATATACACTCCCTAATATATACCCGCCCACATGCACATACACGCACGCACACACACACACACCTGGGCATGAAAAGCCGCCAATGCCACAGTCTCCTTTACACACTGTCCTGAATTATCCCACCTCTATCAATAACTGAGACATAAGATTAGCTGCTTGTCAACGAAGTGTTACGTGATGTGTAACTATGACGTCACTTCCCCTATAGGCTGTGAACATCCTCGAGACGAGTGGAGGTCAAACACGGTTTGACTTCGTATGTCTGTCAAATTGTTTTACACACACACACGCACACACACATGAGCGAACCAGCAAATTAATGCATGTGCACACACACATCACACACACACACATTTCCTTTTAACATGTGTTAATGCCCCTGATTGTCCATTACTCAGGCAAGGGCTTTGATGATCACAGCATTTGCTAGATCTTTGATGCATACTTGAGAAGAGAACACCACATTCCAACCTACGCGCTCACATACACAGACACCTTGATGATGCATCACTCGAGCAGAACAGATGACACTCCAACCTACACCCTCATACACTCACATATACATACCACACACACACATGCACACACACCAATGTATAAATATGTACTGTGCTGGGCGACGAAAGCATTGCTCCGATCTCCTTCCCCTCCGTTAGTCAACATGCCCCCACAGCACTCCATTACATAAGACATACAGTAGGCAGGAGTGACACTGTGCCCCCCCCCCACACACAAACAAATACACACACAAGAAGACACACACACACAGACCTACTGAGCTGCAGAAGACAAAGTCCATATTAAATTATTAATGCTATCTTATATCATGGAAACTCAATGGAAACATTACAAGTAGAAAGATCACAGTGAGAAACCTCATTGTATGCGTAGGAGGCCGCATTTTCGTAATGGAGTTGATACTTAATTACACTGAGGGTCAGATTTACAGTACTGAGCATTAGGATTGGATTGGATGTGTTAATATTATACGAATTCATTCTATAAAACAACGTTTGTATATTCTATTGCACTCTCATTTACTCTCTAGCCTCTATCAAGCCTCTACATTATACATTACCCTTTCTAAAATAACACATGTCAATTCTGGATTGGTGTAAGTGCTTAATAAATCTAACGATAATCAGCAGATGGAGAGATGACGGATCCTCCAATGAATACAGCCTTTTGCTACAGGCCATTGTGGACTACCCACTAGTAAGGTGCTGAACTTCTTTCACAAATGAAAATGGCTGTCATCCTACAATTAAGCAATAAGGCACGAGGGGGTGTGGTATATGGCCAATATACCACGGCTAAGGTCTGTTCTTAGGCACAACGGAGTGCCTGGATACAGCCTTTAGCCGTGATATATTGGCCATATACCACAAACCCCAGAGGTGCCTTATTGCTATTATAAACTGGTTACCAACGTAATTAGAACATAATTTTTTTTTTTTTGTCATACCCGTGGTATACGGTCTGAACAGTCAATCAGCATTCAGGGCTCGAACCACCTTATTTATAATTATAATTAGAACATCTCTTGCTGTCTCTCTGAAATATAATTGTTTCTTTTGTCATATTGCATAACAGCCGGTCACAAAGACACATTTGTGTGGCAAATATTATTTGCCACAAATCCTTGAACATCAACCAGACAAACACCCAACAACCCGACACCCAAAGACACATCTTTGTCACAGCCTTTCTATGTTTCTATCTTTCTATGTTGAGTTGAACACGCCAGATTGGAGATTTCCCAGTGGAGTCTCTCTTTCTTACCCAGGACAAGCGAAGGCGCGGTAAGACCCTCCTGGGCACCCTTCGTCTGGGTCGCGGAGAGGCGCGGGGTGGGGTGGAGGGTCGGGGAGAGGCACGGGGTGGAGTGGTGGTGCTGGTGGTAGCATGTAGGGTAATGCTTCTTAACACCGCCAACCAGATACAGCGAGGTTCCGGGTCACTACAGTCCACCCCTACTGAGCACTGGAAACACCACTCCTGTCCTGAGGGAGCTGGTACCTCCACTCTCAACATCACACACACACACACCACACACACAAGAGTGTTTGCTACCGCCCCACACAGGACGGGACACGTACGACACCGCTGTTACCCCCGCAACCACCAGACGTTTTAACCTAGACACGCTACACACACTCTCGGCCGGACATGGTGGTCAAGTCAATGGTAACCAACGTAACCAAACCACTTAGTGTCAATCAATTTGAACGTCAAATCAAGACGTAAAAATTCAGAGTCAAAGAACAAATCTATAAAATCAACTAAATCTTCATATTGATGAATCAATCCAGCTCTAGGTGAGTAGATTTGTATTCCTCAAAGTGGGTTTGGGTTGAGGTTCGGTCTGTCACAAATGTTGTGCATCATGGTCCTGTTGGTCACTAGTTCAGTGAAGCAGCTTAGATGGCAGGCCTGAGATCAGTGGAGACAGTAAAGAGAAAGGGCCTTTGCAAGGCACAAGATAACGCGATCTTCATAAGAGTTGGTCCTAGATCAGTAATATTCTTGATCTGTGTAGAGCTATTGGTGTCCTCATTTCTATCCAGGATCTGATCCAGGATCATATTTCATCCTCTCCTCAAGATGAGTTGTCCCGTGTTTGCGTTCTACATGTGGCTAGACCAGTAGCTGGTTACCTCTTGTCCTTTCGCAGTATAGACAGATTCAGACTCACGCTGCCACACTTCCTTGTTCAATGACCGGAAATCGAGGTTCAGAAGTCCTCTTTACTGGTATAGAAGCCATTAGGGTGGCGTACAGGTGTGAAGACCAGTAGCTGGAGCTAGTCCTCTTCACTGGATCAGAATGAGTTTTAGTCTTCTTCACTGGATCAGAATGAGTTTTAGTCTTCTTCACTGGATCAGAATGAGTTTTAGTCTTCTTCACTGGATCAGAATGAGTTTTAGTCTTCTTCACTGGATCAGAATGAGTTTTAGTCTTCTTCACTGGATCAGAATGAGTTTTAGTCCCACGTTTTCTATTGCAGCTGGTAACAGTAGCTCTTTTCTCTCATGCTGGGTATAGTGCAGTATTGGCAGTGGCTGGCTCTCTGTCTTTATTGCTGTCTAAAGTATATTCCTCTCCTCTTCTCTCTACCCAGGCTCTGCCTGCCTGCCTCACTCTCTGTGGCTCCCTGTAGGATCTCTTGTGCTCCACGCAACGCTAGTCCACTCTGTCAACCCCACTCACTCTCTCACTCTCTCTCTCTCGCTCTCTCCGCCTCTCTTTCACATTCCTCCCATCCCTCCACTGGCCAGTCCAGCAAGGCGGTTGAGCAGTGAGCAGCACACAGCATGTTCTCTCTGTGTGTGTTTCTCTCTCTCTCTATGTGTGTCTCCCTGTCTCCTCTTTTTATGCTCAGAAACCTGGCCACCGCTGCTGACAGTAGAGTACACACTAACGTTAAAAAGGCTGTGTGTGTGTGTGTAGGACAATCCGGGAGTCCCAGCCTTTTAAAACAAAACTAGCAGCAGCAATGTATTGCAGTCTTTAATGCTGTTTGCTTTGACACCTGTGTGCCAGAGCATTGGAGAGAGAGAGAGAGAGAGAGCGAGAGAGAGAGAGAGAGAGAGAGAGAAAGAAGGAGCGAGAGAGAGAGAATTAAGGAGAGAGAGAGAGAGAGAGAGAGAGAGAGAGAGAGAGAGAGAGAGAGAGAGAGAGAGAGAGAGAGAGAAAGAGAGAGAAATGAAAAGAGACAAAAAAAGATAGATTGACTAAGACAGACATGCAGACTCCCCTAGCTGGAAATGCCACCCATCGCTCCTCTCTTCTCTCCTCCCCTCTTTACAATCTCTTTGGAAAACTCAACCCGGAAAAATGGGAGCTCTGACTCAGTGGTAGGATAAAAAAGGAAAGGCATTGCCCTATCTGCTTCACTGTATCTCTCTCCCCTATGGCTAGCCTGCCTTTCTGAGTGCTGTGTGTTCTGTGTGTCAGTGTCTGTCCACACTCCATAGCATTGGACCTGGGGGCTACTGTTAGTAAGGGCAACTTCATGTGAATCATGAATCATAGGACGCAGAAGTCATTATGATGGAGCTAGGATTCATGGAATTGAAGGATGGGGGAGGAATGGGAAGTTGGCTATATATCGAAATGGCTATTTAAGGCCTATCGGCCTTGTAAGCGTGTCACCAAACATACAAACACATGCTTTGGTACACACATTGATTTAGCTTTTTGTTTGTTCTATCTATAGAGCAATTACTAGCCGATATGAAAAATGCCATGTGATTTAAAAAGCTGCAATTACTACATGCACACTCACACTCACACACACACTTTTCTTTTCCCTTTCTCCCTGGTGACATGATACCACAGGTTTGGCTGGAATAACCCCACACTGAGACAGCAGCCAATCAGAGTTGTCCATGGGAGGCAGCCAGCCAAATAGCCCATGAGGAGCAATCCATCCCCGCCTGAAAGGGGGCGGCCATCATTAATATGTCATTGATACTAGTACTATCAGCACAGGCTGCAAAGTAGTCCCCTCCTCTTCTAGTAATGGGGCAGCCCCTGGCATTGTGCAAAACTAAAATACAGAAACATAGCTCACAAAGGCTATTGGTTTAACAATGGTACAAAAAAGAGAGCAACATTGCATTTTTTGAATGTAAGATGGATCAAAAGTAACTCAATAATTAACTTTCAACCATGATAAAACAATTGGTAAAAAAGAGAATTTACTGTTTAAATTGGACAAGGACAGCAGCACCCATCTAATCTATCCCTCACATGCGTCCCAAATGGCAACCTATTTTTGACCGTCAAAATTAGTGCATTATAGGCCTATAGGGAAGATGGTGCCATTGATTGGGACATACACAATATCTCTCTCCAGCTCTCACTCTGCCTCTCATTGGATACTTCTATGTCTCTCCACCCACTCCCCCTCTCGCGCGCTCTCTCTCTCTCTCTCTCTCATGTCTCCTCTTTTTAGGCTCATTACCCTGCAGCTTTTTTTACCTTTCTCTCTCTCTCTCTCTCTCAGTCTTTCTATTCCATCTCCTCTTTCTCTCTCATTCTCTCCAGTCTCCACACAACTCCAACCCTCCTCTTGACTTCTTATATAACCAGAGGGAAGGAGTTACAGGGATGAAAGGAGCGACAAGCAGAAAGAGTTGTTTAGACAGAGACAGAGTGTAGACAGAGAACCCACACACATGCACGGATGGACGGACATCCTGTATCCTGTACATACGACTAATAAAACTTGAAACACACACACACACACACGCAAACACACAATGTAGACATGATTATCAGCTATTTTTGTTTAAAGCCACTAGTGGGCAGCACTAGCTTGCAAAGGATCACGCTGACTTGATAATGTTCTCAATTTAACAGATAGGCCTAACTGCAATGTACACCATCGATTATTGAAACCGAGAGGATGTCTAAAATAGGCAGCCTATTTGTTCACACACATCGAGGAGACAACAGAGATATTATCAGATAGTATTGATAACCCCTGTTTGCTAAAATGGGCTAATATCAATAGTATACATTAAGGGATTCTTCTTTGAGTATGAATGAGAACAAAAAGGAGGTGCACACACACATACACACACACACACACAATCAACCCTCAATTGCAGGAAAAGCCTCCTAATTGACCTATTTTTGTCAACTGTGAAACTGTTCCAAGCTAAAAAAAAAAAAAAAAAAAAAAGAATACAGCTACGTATTTCCATGCTTTGTGGTTTTTCTCTCTGTTCTCTTTTTTTCCTTCCACATGGCCGCAGCTGTTGTCAGTATGGAACTAGTCCCAAACCAGGACACGTAACCATGGCAACTGCCCCTCCCCTTTAATGGCATAACTGGACACTTTAAGGACATAACTAGCCCCACAGCACTGACCCGACCACACACACACGCGCGTTCACAAACACACATGAACACACACACACAAACTTAGAAACAAACACATTCACTCACACACGCACACAAACCCATTGACTTTGAGTATGGGAAATTCAGTGGTGATTTTAGCATGTAAATGGTGGGGCAAACTCAACCAATTTTTTTAGATGCATGCTAGCAAAGCCACTACACAACACTGAAAAATACATTAATTGCACTATAACGGTGAAAAATGGTGCCCAGAAACTGTTAGGGCATACATAAAGCTGTCCTGACAGCGGAGCTTTCCTTTCAGCACCATGGAGTGAATCCTTACCGCCGCTACACCTGGCTATCAGCGGAGCCTCATCTGGCAGCGAAACAGTTAATTCAGCCTCATTTACTGCCTTTTTAAAAACCATAGCTGATAGGGCTGACTTGCTTAAATAAATATGGTTTCTACTGACTCCTTGTGGATTTGTGGAACTCGATAAGAACCACATTCTCCTTCAATAACAATGAATGCCAACATGAGTTTTGACTTTTGAACCATACACAAACACCATTACATTTATGTTCAGGAAATTCATATTTGTTCTTATATCGTTAACACTTACACTACCAGTCAAAAGTTTGGACACACCTACTCATTCAAAGTGTGATTGACTTGGAGTTACATTGTGTTGTTTAAGTGTTCCCTTTATTTTTTTGAGCAGTGTATATATATATTTTAGCTAAACAGATGGGGCTCAAAACAGGAGGGGCCCACCTTCCCTGAAGGACAGGTCGCCACTGGGGGAATGCCATGGCACTTGTTGCTCAGACCTGCTGCCAACAAGTCAGCAATAAAGATAGTTTCACAGTTCAACTGTGCTTTATGTTTTATGTCGTCTATTCATCTATTCCTTTCTGAAGATACAGTAACTGGCGCCTACGCCTTGTAAATCTGGCCCTTAGCCCCTCTTGAAAACAGGCTGCCATTTGAGCTCCCATGACTGTACCACTGATTCCTCCCACATAGGTAGAAATCCCCTCCTCCTCTGCCGCCTCTGTGTCCAGGACCACACAACTACCCAAACGATTACTACCCAGAGTGGAGAATGGTTTACCTACAGCACTCTCTTGTGAGAGCAAGACTGGGGGTGATTGACTGTGTCTGAATTGGACAAGGC